CGTGGTCTCAACCCAAGACAGGTGAGCCCACATGACTTACCACACAAATTGTAACTGTGGGTATCAAACAATGTGGTGTTGATCATCTTTTTACCTCTCCCCCCCCCCAGATCCTAGACACGAGCTGTTGCTAAGAAAGGAGTCCACTGTTGGACGGTGGTGGTGCACGCCTTTAATCCCAGCCGTAGGGAGGGAGGCAGAGACAGGCGGATCTCTGCCAGTTCGAGGTCAGCCTGGTCTACAAGAGCTAGTTCCAGGACAGCCTCCAAAACCATAGAGAAACCCTGTCAAAAAAAAAAAAAGAAAAGAAAGAAAGGAGTCCGTTGTTGGACGGTGGTGGTGCACGCCTTTAATCCCAGCCGTAGGGAGGGAGGCAGAGGCAGGCGGATCTCTGCCAGTTCGAGGTCAGCCTGGTCTACTAAGAGTTCCAGGACAGCCTCCAACGCTACAGAGAAATCCTGTCTGGAAAAACATAACAAAACAAGACAAAAAGGAATCCGTGCAGAGAGCAGAATGGGGAGGTGTACTGTAGGCCCGATAGGTGGTGCTGTTGCTCTGGAAGCACATGGAGAAACTGAGGAGAAAGGGACCTTGGTGCCGTCTGTCATGTCTGAGAACGGAATAGGCTAAGACTAGACAGATCTGTGACCCTCTGTGCTGACTGGAATTTAAAACCAAAAATTGGCTTGTTAAAAATACTCCGGATTTAAGACCATAGCAGTCTTATGTGGTGCTTTAACCCAGTTAGAAAAGTAACTAACTGCCCAGGGACCACACGCCATGAGTGATGTCATACTCGTCATTTAACACACCAAGCCACTGTCTGCCCTCCCTTTCCTGGAGCCTGATCAAAAGCCATCTGCGCTCTCTGAGGGAGCATGGAGGAAAGGGACAGAAGGGAGAATCTGTGTGAACAGAGATTTTTCTTGATTGGAGATTGATATGGAGGGTTCAGCTAGCTCACTGTGGGCTGTGGATCCTGGGTTACAGTACCTGGTGCACATGGTAATTCTAGTTTTAGCGTTTTGAGAAACCTTCCCACTTCCATAGTAACGGCACTGATATAAACTCCCACCAAGGGGGATAAGAATTCCCCTTTTCCCATATTATTGCCAGAATTATTCTCTCTCTCTCTCTCTCTCTCTCTCTCTCTCTCTCTCTCTCTCTCTCTCTCTCTCTCTGCTCTCTCTCTCTCTCTCTCTCTCTCTCTCTCTGTCACACACACACACACACACACACACACACACACCGCCTTGATCATGACTGGCTTATGTAACAAAGCAGGCTGACACTTTGGAAATCAGTATGGAGATTCCTCAGGAAAATGGGAATCAGTCTACCACAAGACCCAGCAACTCCACTCTTAGGCATATACCCAAAAGATGCCCATTCATACTACAAGGACATCTGTTCCACTGTGTTCATAGCAACATTATTTGTAACAGCCAGAACCTGGAAGCAACCTAGATGCCCCTTAACTGAAGAGTGGATAGAGAAAATGTGGTACATTTACACAATGGAGTACTACTCAGTGGGAAAAAAAACAGTGGAATCTTGAAATTTGCAGGCAAATGGATGGTACTAGAAGAAACCATCCTGAGCGAGGTAACGCAGTCACAAAAAGACAAACATGGTATGTACTCACTCGAATATGGATTTTAGACATGAATCAGGGGAGTGCCAGCCTACAATCCCATGGCCAGAGAGTCTGGGAAACAGGAAGGACCCTAAGAGAAATATGCATAGTACCCTAGAGAAGGGGAATGGGACAGGATCCTCTGGATTGGGAGGATGAGGGGAGGGGAGAGGGAGCTGGGAAAAAGAGGGAGGAGAAGAGGAGGAGAGAGGAGGACATGGGGGAGCAGGAAGGTTGAGATGGGGGAAGAATAGAGGAGACAAGGATGAGAGATACCATAATAGAGGGAGTCATTATAGGTTTGAGGGGAGATCTGGCACTATTGAGATTTCCAGAGATCTACAAGGGTGACACAATCTTAGCAATAGTGGAGAGGCTACCTTAAATGCCCTTCCCTGATAATGAGATTGATGACTACCTTATATGCCATCCTAGAACCTTCATCCAGTAGCTGATGGAAGCAGAAGCAGACATCCACAGCTAAACAGTGAACTGAACTCCAGGAACCCAGTTGCAGAGAGGGAGGAGTGATGAGCCAAGGGGTCAATATCGGGCTGGCGAAACCCACAGAGACAGCTGACCTGAACAAGGAGGGGTCATAGACCCCAGACTGATGACTAAGAGACCAGCATGGGACTGATCCAGACCCCCTGAACGTGGGTGTCAGTGAGGAGACCCAGGTAATCTATGGGGCTTTGGGTAGTAGATCAGTGTTTATTCCTGGCATACAAATGGACTTTGGGCATTCATCCCACAATGAGGGATGCTCTCTAAGCCTGGACACATGTGGGAGGACCTAGGCCCTCCCCGAAAGGAAATGACAGACTCTAGAGATCCCCCCATGGAGGGACTTACCCTCCTTGGGGAATGGAGTGGGAATTGGGTGGGGAGCTTAGAGGGGGTTAGAGGGGAGTGGGCGGGGAGGGAGAGGGAGCTGGGGCTGACATGTGAAGCAAGCTTGTTTCTAATTTAAATATATAATAATAAAAACCTGTAACTCCAGTTCCAGGGCATCCCCCACCCTCTGCAGGTGCACAGGATCCACACATTCACACACGCATATATAAAAATAAATATTATTTATTTTATTAATAATTAATAATAATAAATTAATATTATTTATGAAGCAGACCCTTCGTAGGAACGTGCACACCAGTGCTCAGTGCAGTTTCATTCACAGGGGTTAAATGATACAAGCAAGAGCCGAGAGATGGCTCAGAAGTGAAGAGCGCTTGCTGCTCTTGCAGAGGACCTGGGCCCTGGGTTTAGTTCTCAGCACTCACGTGGCAGGCAGCTCACAATGATTTGTAACTCTAGTTCCAGGGGGACCAAGGCCCTCTTTTGGTTCCCATAGGCTTTAGGAACACAAGTGGTACACACACATGCATGCAGGCACAACATACACATAGAAAAAATTCAACGAGAGACGGAAACAACCATGTCTTTTAGCAGATGGAACAAATTAACAAAAATGCTGCATATGAATATGACTGAATATTACGAAGCCATAACGAGGAATGGAGTTCTTAAATGTGGTACAATGTGTTTCAACCTTGAATGTACATGACAAGGAATAAACTAGTCACGAGGGACATTCGTTACGTGATGCCACTTACATTAATTCTAATTAGAGGCTGTCTTTGGCTACTTTCTCACTAGGTGGAAATGAGAGTGAAATTTTCAAAGAGAGTGGTGATGATAGCAAACATAGCTAGTGCCACTGAGTTGCACGTTTAAAAAATGGTTAAAATTGTTAGGCCACCAAGCAGGTGATACTGCCTGGCAGGGCTGCTGAGTGAGTCTATCCCAGTAAAACTGTTCAGGCTTGTGCTGAAGGGTGGTGCTCTGTAGTCTCTGAGTCAGCCGGGCCGTTTGTCCCAAATAATTATCTTTCTACCCTAGTTCAATGGTGTCATTGTGCCTCACTTACAAGAAGAGCGACTTTTATGGGGTAGATTCATTCAGTAGTTTGTTTGTTTGTTTGGTTGATTTTTTTGGTTTTTCAAGATAGGGTTTCTTTGTGTAGCTCTGAATGTCCTGGAACTCACTTTGTAGACCAGCCTGACCTCGAACTCCAGGATCTATCTATCTGTCTCTGCCTCCTGTGTGCTGGAACTAAGGGCGTGCACCCCCACAGCCCGGCTAATAAAGGATTTTTTTAAAGATTTATTTATTTATTATGAATACAACATCTTGCCTCCATGTATGTCTGCACATCAGCAGAGGGCACCAGATCTCATTATGGATGGCTGTGAGCCACCATGTGGGTGCTGGGAATTGAACTCAGGACCTCTGGAAGAGCAGTCAGTGCTCTTAACCTCTGAGCCATCTCTCCAGCCCATAAAGGATTAAAAAAAATTTTGTTCTTTTATTATGCATACAGTATTCTGCCCGCATGTATGTCTGAGAAGAAGGCACCAGATCTCATTACGGATGGTTGTGAGCCACCGTGTGGTTGCTGGGAATTGAACTCAGGACCTTTGGAAGAGCAGTCAGTGCTCTTAACCTCTGAGCCATCTCTCTAGCCATAATAACGGAATTTTTAAAAAATTAAGTTTTCATTACAGTATTGTTTAAAAGAAGGAGGAGGAGGAGGAGGAGGAGGAGAAGAAGAAGAAGAAGAAGAAGAAGAAGAAGAAGAAGAAGAAGAAGAAGAAGAAGAAGAAGAAGAAGAAGAAGAAGAAAACACCGCTGGATGGTTTGATGCATTATCTTTTCAGGGACATTACGCAGCTATTAAAACAACAATTGTGTGAGAACACGGAGAAGAAGAAGAAAAAGAAGGAGAGAAAAAAAATAGTTCGCTGCCTTTGAAAACGTGGGAAGCGCCCACGATCCTTAGGCGAGAGTCGACGGAGTGAGCCAAAATAACTTTTTCCCCTATAACCTTGATATGTTCCATTAAGCATGAAAACGAAATAGCACAGTAGGATCAGAAGCGCAAAGGACTTCCCAGAGAGCGAAGCAGCAGCGTGAAGAATGCTTCTCTTTGGTAGCAAGGGTCCGCGTTCCAGAGGACCGGGTGTAGGTCTGGGGACAGTCGGAGCATCTCCGCCAGAGGCCCCGGGCTCTGAGCACTGCAGATCTTCTCTTCCCCCAGACACTGCACCATCCGCCCTGCCGAATGATCTCTCAGCTTCCACCCAGACCTCAGCGGCCTTTGCGCCCTCGGCTCCCGCGCATCGTGCATCCCAGCCACCCCCAATCCCTGCCAGCCGGCCTCCCTCCGCCGCCATCCGACCCCCTGGACTCCCGCCCCGCCCCGCCCCGCCCCGCCCCGCCCCGCCCCGCCCCGCCCCGCCCCGCCCCGCGCCAGTGGGTGGGGGCGCGGCGCGCACGCGCAGCGGAGGGCGGCGCGGGCGGCATGGGGACTGCGGCGGCGGCGGCGGCTGCGGCGGCGGCTGCGGCGGCGGCGGCCGGGGAGGGGGCGCGCGGCCCGAGCCCCGCCGCCGTGTCGCTCGGCCTGGGCGTGGCCGTGGTGTCGAGCCTGGTGAACGGGTCCACGTTCGTGCTGCAGAAGAAGGGCATCGTGCGCGCAAAAAGGCGAGGTAGGGCGGGTGGAGGCCGGGCGCCCGGGGTCCCGGGGTCCCGCGCTACGCGCTGCTGCGGGGCAGCCGGTGAGCAGTGCATCGGGCAGGCTTGCATCTGCCCCGCAGGCAGCATCGCTGCATCCCGCGCGGTCTCTCCATCTCTCTCTCTTCCCCCCCCTTCTCAGTGGCCCGAGAGGCCTCCCTCCCTCTCTCAGGAGCCCTGTCACAGGACTTCTTGCCCCGTCCCTTTGCCGGTCCAGTTCTTCGCCACCACCCTGCTGGGGGAGGAGCTCATCCGGACAGGTGCACGGCTTGCAGCCCTGCTAGCTGCCCCGAGGCCGGCAACTCAGCTACTGTCAGGCTAGGGTTTTGCTCTACGTGAAACCCAGAGGTGGGTGGAGCCAGGCCCGTCTTGCTGTGGACTGGGGGTGGGGTGGGGGGTAGGGGGAGCTGGGGGTGCTCTTGGGAGAGCACTTAAGTGGTGTGGAGAACGAAGGGTTGTGTGTGCTGGGCCCGCTGGACGTGCAGAGGCAGCCACTGAGTTGCCCACGCTCACCTTGAGTGCGAGCAAGGTCTGTTTTCCCCAGCGGCTTTGCCCCCCACCCCCACCCACGGGGTCCTTATTAGTTGAGTTACCTCTGGATGATATTTCTGCCATCTGAAGCAGGAAGAAAACAAAACAGGCGTGCAAATGGGCCCCACCGAGCATGGCCTGGGTGGATAGGTCACCAGAAACCACTCCGTAGTGATGTGGACAGTGTGGGGTGAGGCACGGAGCCTTTCTTTGGCCTTGTGTTTGGAGGCTTGTGACAGGCACTGAGCGCCAGAGGCAGAATACTCTGGAGGGGGAAAGTAAACACGGCTTTCAGAGAGATGGGTAAAGGCTGTGGCTGGAGCCCCAACCTCATGAGCTCTGAAAGGGTAAGGACCTGGCTGCCAGCATATGGGAAGGGAATACATTTAACAGCTCTGATTCCAGAAGACTTTTGCAACTTTGACATGGCCATCCAGGCAGCCAAGGACCTTCAGAAAGGAGACAGAGAACTGACAGCCTTGAGTGAAAGTACAAAACCAGCAATCTTTATGTAAAGAAACTGATTTCACAGTGAAAGCATTGCAGCCCCAATATAAGACCTAAATAAAACCAATCGTGATTTCCCGAGCATGCAGATGTGTCTCTGTCTCTAATGTACAAACATCTGATACACACTCGGCAACTACACTCAGGGACGGTCTGTCGATTTGTACGGGCATCGTAATTGGGCAGGGGTGTTTGCTGTAACTAAAAAGGGAAAAACACGAGTGCCCTTGATAGGATTGTGAGAACGGGAGCTTTGCCTGTGTGGTGGTCTTGTGAGCCCCACAACTCCATTAATAAGATAGAACAATTGATTAGCAAGAATAAATGCATTGTTTCAGCTCATTTTTTGTGTTCCAGGGGACTGCTAAGTTAAAAAAAAACAAGCTAAAATTGTTTTTGAGGTCCTGGGTCTAATCCTAAGCACCATATTTTTTAAAAAAATAAAAAACATGGATGTCTTTATTTATTCTTGCATACCATGTATGTTTTTGTATGTGTGTGCTTTAGAAAATAGTCTCTCACTGTGTAGCTCAGGCTGGTCTCGAACTCATGACCTCCCTGCCTTAGCATCCTGAGTATCTGGGATTACAGGTGTGTGTTGCCACACATTCTGTACTATGCCTTTAAATTAATAAAGTGGAAATGTCATATTCACTGGTTTCGTATTTCCTCACTTTCCCCCAGCTGCTGTTGGTTAAGATGACTTTACTTGTGGTGGCAAAATTCAGGCAGGCAGTTTCGCTTTAGTAAATCTACTTTGTTTAACAGATAAGTGTTTTTGAAGCTCTTATATGCTACTGAAGCTACAACCATTTTAAAAGTCTATTCCCAGGGCAGATATGATGGCATGCACCTGTAATCCCAGCCTGAGTGGCATAGTGAGCCCCCATAAAATAAAGTGAAAACCAACTCCCCATAATCTTTTACTATTCCTGCTTCATGACCGGCAGAGCTGATAGCCATCAAATAACTGAAATGGAAGAGGAGAGACAAAAAGATGCTGTACAAAAGTGCCAAGTTCTTAGATTAAGAGGAGAGACAAAAAGATGCTATACAAAAGAGCCAAGTTCTTAGATTAAGGGAGACTCACCCATAAGGTTTCTTATGCTGTAACTGACTTTGCTTCTTTAGAAGATCTACCTTCATAGTTGACAGGTGGTAGCATTTCTAGGAAGTCGAATCTTCAGGGAGGCTAAATTTTTTTTTTTACATGTCAATCCCAGTTCCCTCTCCCTCCCCTCCTCCCCCCCCCCCCCGTCCCCCCATCCTCCCACCCTATTGCCAATTCCTTCCACATAGGGGATATCTAGAGTCTGTCATTTCTCTCAGGGCAGGGTCCAGGCACTCCCCTAAGAGTCCAGGCAGAGAGAGCATCCCTCTTTGTGCTATGGACACACGATGTCTGTTAGTATTCGGGGGATAAACACTGATCCACTGTTCAGGACCCCATAGGTTGCCCAGGCCTCCTCCCTGACTCTCACATTCAGGGGGTCTGGACCAGTCCCATGTTGGCCTCAGGGAGGCTAAATTCTTTTTTTTTTTTTTTTTTTTTCCGAGACAGGGTTTCTCTGTATTGTTTTGGAGGCTCTCCTGGAACTGGCTTTGTAGACCAGGATGGCCTTGAACTCACAGAGATCCACCTGCCTCTGCCTCCCGAGTGCTGGGATTAAAGGCGGGTGCCACCAACGCCCGGCAGGGAGGCTAAATTCTAATTGTAGTTCTCTAGTGATGTTTGGGGGAGCTACTGGCTTTGAGTTTCGCCTTTAAAGGACCTTCTTAATGAGTGGACCCAGTGTAACTCCCGGAGAGCTGGGGAGTGCCCTCTGAAGCACAGCCTCAGGGTTCAACTATCAAGCTTCTTCTTTTTTTTTTTTTTTTTTGTGCCTTTGAATGACTCATAGGACATTTCACAGGGCATTTGTTCAGGACCCCAGAGAAGACTCAGATGGCGTATACCCAAATCCCTTGCTTTATGTGGTGTGGTATTTGCATATAACATGTCATCCTGTGTTTATATTTTATACTTCCAATAATCTGTTAATGATTTATAAAGCAACTCAAAGTAAATGTTATGTAAGCAGTTGCTACACTTTATTGTCTAAGGGAATAGTGACAAGGAATAAGTTCGTATGTGTTCAGCGTGGACCTAGTTTGTTTTTGAAACGGGTTATCATGCATCCCAGGCTGGCCTTCACCTGGTAGCTGCGGGTGACTTTGAACCTCTGATCCTCCTGCCTCCATTTTCCAAATGCTAGGATTGCAAGCATGGGTTGCTATGCCATGTTTCTGTAGTGTCGTGGTGTCAAACTTGAGGTTTTATGCATGTTGGCAAGCTCTCTTACCAGCTGAGCTGTACCCCTAGCTCTGCAGATGTAGTCTTTAAAAGACTTGTTTTAGTCATTGTATGTGGAGAGCTAGCTGCTCCAAATGTCTGGAGTTAGAGCGCCGTGGAAGCTGGTTGCCTGCAGAGTAGGACTGGGTATCCTGCATGTAGGGCTTGTATTGTACCGACCTTTGGGTAGCCTTTTGCTGCTGTGGGAATAGCTTAAACAACTTAAAAAGAGGAGAGCTTCATAACTCATAGTCGTAGCGCTCTCTGTTTGTTGCTTGGGGCATATGAGGGGTGCTGGACCTTGGTGACTGAAGCCCCTTCCCTTTAGGCAGCTGGGAGGGAAACAGAGAGGAAGAAGAGTCCCACAGTCTCCCTGAAGTATACACCAGATGATCCAACTTCCTTTCACTAAGACCATCCCTGGTTTTTGTTATTTGTTTGTTTGTTTTTGTTTTTTGAGATAGGGTTTCACTGTGTAATAGTCCTGGCTGCCCTGGAACTCACCGAGATCCACCTGCCTCTGCCTCCCGAGTGCTGGGATTAAAGGTGTGCGCCACCACTGCCCAGCCCACTAAGCCCTTCTTTTTTTTTTAATTTTTTTTTACTTCTTTTTCTTTTCTAAGATTTATTTATTATGTATACAGCATTCTGTCTGCATATATGCTTGCAGGCCAGAAGGGGGTGCCAGATTTCATTACAGATGGTTGTGAGCCACCTTGTGGTTGCTGGGAATTGAACTCAGGACCTCTGGAAGAGCAGTCTGTGTTCTTAACCTCTGAGCCATCTCTCCAGCCCCCCACTAAGCCCTTCTAAAGGGGTTGTTTTCTCCCAGTTGTACCAGGAGCTAGTGGTAACCAAACTTTTAGCATGTGGTCCTTTGGTAGACATTTAAGGTCTTATGGTTATAAGACTGTCTAAATAGCAACTAGACCCTCTCCAAAAATAATACTTACTTCAGAATGTTAAAGAGCATCGTAACGTGTACTAGACATGCCGTAGCAAACTCTGAGTGTGTTCAAGGAGATTTGAGGCTGTGGGGAAGGGGCTGGGGGTAAGGCAGGAAGGGAGAAATTTACACATAGTATAAGGTCTTGGAAACTTGGGCAGTTGTTGATGTCAGCTCACTGGTAGAGGGGCTCATGCTGGCAGTGTTCTGTCTGGAGAAGCGTCTCTGAATCGAGATGGTCCTAAAGAATGTTGAAAACGATCTGTATTGACTGAGTGATCCTACCACTTACGAGGCTGAACCAGTGGGATTATTTTAAGCCTGCTGGGGCTACATAGTTCAAGGCTGGACTGGGCTGTGTAGCAAGACCCGTCTCATAAAACCATAAGTGATGAGGAAAAGAAGGGAGGTTTTATTGCCCAAGTTTGTGAGGAGGAATCTCCAGTGGGACTTGAGAAAGCACTTACCTCAAGCAGGTAGGCGTGGGCCAGCTCCAGTTCTGTTTGAGTCTGATAAGACCACACGCTTGGTATCCATAGCTTTCATAGTGATAGCCAGTGGAGGAGGGGCAGAAGCTGGTTGTTGCTGGGAGGCTGGACTCTGGGGATAGGGGTAAAGAGGGACCAGGGCTGCCTGGAGACCGAGCTCAGAAAAAATGG